ATGACCAAGCAACTGCATCCAAGTGCAATGCAAATCGTCGGTGGTGTAAAGCATGGACTCTAGAGCAGTGGAGACGTGTTCTCTGGAGTGATGAATCACGCTTCTCTGCCTGCAATCCTATGGATGTGTCTGGGTTTAGCAGTTGCCAGGAGAACGGTACTTGCCTAACTATATTGTGCCAAGTGTAAAGTTTGGTGGAGGGGGGATTATGGTGTGGGGTTGTTTCTCAGGGATTGGGCTTGGCCCCTTAGTTCCAGTGAATGGAACTCTTAAGGCGTCAGCATACCAAGACATTTTGGACAATTTCATGCTCCCAACTTTGTGGGAACAGTTTGGGGATGGTCCCTTCCTGTTCCAACATGATTGCGCACCAGTGCACAAAGCAAGGTCCATAAAGACATGGATGAGAGAGTAATGGATTGGAGGAACCTGACTGACCTGACCTGTCCTGACCTCAACTCGATAGAAACACCTTTGGGATGAATTCGAGTGGAGACTGCGAGCCAGGCCTTCTCATCCGACATCAGTGCCTGACCTCACAAATGTGCTTCTGGAAGAATGGTCAAACATTCCCATAGACACACTCCTAAACCTTGTGGACAGCCTTCCCAGAAGAGTTGAAGCTGTTATAGCTGCAAAGGGGGGGGGGGGGGGGGGGGGGGGGGGGGGGGGGGGGGGGGGGGGGGGGGGGGCAATCCAACATTGAACTCTATGAAATAAGACTGGGATGCCATTAAAGTTCATGTGCGTGTAAAGGCAGGCCGACCAATACTTTTGCCAATATAGTGTATTTTCTCATTATTTGTCTCTGATGTATTCTGTAGTGCTATACAGAGAACACTGAGCCAGTCCCATCAGTCTCTGCACCAAAGGAGCTCTTCGTGTTCATGTTTCATCACAAGTACACACAGTTGTTACTAATATATAACAACAAAAGCAGAAAGGGCGCAAATCATGCTTGTGTATTTACATGCCTTTTGCCTACTGGGCTTGTGAGCATGATTTTATTGTTTCATTATTAAAGTGCCCAAAGATCAGGTACTAGGCGTGTGCACCCTTTCTGCTTTTATTGTTGTAGTACTGGATTTCTCCAATTCAAGGAGGGCTGCACTGCCTACTTTTTCGGTTTGGGCTGTTTAACCTTGGCTCTTCACCCTGCCAATAAGATGGGGGGGCCCTCTACCATTTGATTGCTTAAGGTGTCAAGTCTCTATTTCTTTTTGTTTTATATATATATATATATATATATATATATATATGACATATTCTAGAATGCTCGACATAGAGCACAGAGCTATTGGCATCGGTGTCTGCACTAGAGGAGCTTACACTCTGTCATGTCCCCGTAACTGCTGTCTGTCAGTCTCTGGGTGTGCGACTTCTCTTTCTATCCTTTTACATCCCCTAGATTTTTGTAAGGTCATATTTTTTTAAAAAGGCTGCATGCATGGGATAAATATAACTAAAAAATGTTGCGCTCCCAATCTCTAACAAACTTATAAATTAGTGACTTCAAATTATATATCCATGAAAAACAAACATTATACCATACATAAATAAATGAATATAAAGTTAAATATGATGTGAATCAAATAAAATAAAAAAAACAGTCCCATTACTCAAATAATAGTCCAAAAAAAGGGATTTGTGATGACGTGATCCAAACACACCAATTGTGACTTTTCGTGAATCCTTAAATCATTAAAGATGTGCGCTCACCTCCTTACAAGCCTAACAGATACACTTTTTGTTCACATACATGGAAACTGCTAGAATTTGCTGCAGCATGGAATGGATGTTGGATACCTCCTATGTACTCCACAATGCTTCTCTCCTTATACACTCGTTATCCCTGCAGGGATCTCTCCCTCCTTCAGCTGTTCAGGATCCCCTGCTCACTCCTCTTTGATGTTCCTCAGTGTCATGAAGCAAAAAAAACATGCATGGGATAAATGTTTAATCGTTTCTTAGCCTGAGGGGGTGTTTAGGTGGAGGTCATGTTTGCTGAGATACATTATAAAGATGATAATAATATTAAAATATGATTGATTCTTTGTTTTTCCCAGCAAAAAAAAGCCATTTCCTGTTTTCTATGCTGAAGTAAGCTCATTTTGTTTAATTATATATATTTATTTTATTTATTCTGTATATATATATATATATATATATATATATATATATATATATTTTATTATGTTGTTTGTAAGATTTTTAATAAACAAAAATTTACACTCTAATGCCTCACCATAGCCAAACAGTATTATGATTATTTATCATAGTTCACAAAACAGACATTTAAATTTTCATTTTCTGTACATTTAGCACAGAGCTTGTGTAGCTAGGTCATTATTGGCTCTGATTATCTTATTAGGTTACACTGTCACAATTTCTTGAAATATGTAATGACCTTTGATTTATGAAGATGATTCAAAACGGTGGAATTTGTATGCCTTTTCAAAGTGTAAAAGAATGCACAGAGTATTGTTTGTGCAGCTGCTGTTTTCTTCTGTTGTCAGTGTGACAATAACCTGTAGAAGTCTTCTCACCATGAAAAAAGAGCTTGCAGCGCCCCCTACTGGTAAAATAGAAGACCCCTGAAGTGTAAAATGGTCATAAAATACTGTATTCTGGTCATTGTGTAAATATGTTATGAAACTTGATATATAAGTGAGCACTTCTGAAAAAGAGCTGCTAGCACCAAACAAGTGACACACCAACCTTGTAAAATAATACAGAAGAACAGTGTGCCGCTGATTCATAAAATACATAATACATGCAAAATTATCAATAAATGGTATATGTGCAAAATAAATCTTCCCCAGTGTCAATCCATACATCACATACCGACCAATACTCAAAAAATAGAAAGTGATAACGCAATGTGATAAAATGCATAAAATAGCGATAACACCATATAATGAAAAAGTCCAATCAGTAAAGTGTGTATCCATCTTTGTGTAGAGTCCAAACAGTGTAAAAAGAAAGTCCCTGCAGGACTAAGTAGGATCATTAGTATTATTTTTAGTATAATAATTGATGCTTGTGTTACGTGAAAGGGGATTTGGGCATTAGCCATAATTTAGTCCCCCCTTTTTTCTGTATTTTTATATATTTATTATTTTTTTTTACATTTATTGCTAAATTTAACTCTATGTTATCTGGCGATCCTATAGCAAAATGGATTTGGTCTGTCTTTATGGTTGACTGTTGCATTCCAAAATGCTGCCTGGTGTTGACATATTTGTGACCACAAGAAATGGTGCAGATGACTCCAATTGGATTAGGAAGTATGTTTGAATTAGGACAAGTATGTACCTGTGACTACAACAAAATGGCGCTGGTAACATCTGTTTTACGCCCAGTGCCACAATGAAATGGCGCTGGCAATTTTGAGTCCTCCTTTCATCCTTCAGGCTATTTAAGGGTGATCATGTTTTGACTTCAGCGGTAGGCATATCCCCGGAGGACGTGCATGCGCACGAAACACATTGGCAGGGGCTTTATGTGCTGATATCATGCAGCTGGTTCTGGTATTCAGAACAGCAGCCATCTCCGTAAGTCCGGACAGATTTTTTTGTTTGATGCATCCACATGGTTGTTTTTAGCGACTTTTTAATAAAATATACTACACTATATACTTTTGTCTGGGCTCTGTGGTGTGAGCTCCTTTCCATTTAAGACTTTTGAATGGTGACCTGGGATTGGGATGCACACATGACTAGATTGGCTATGATGCATGCATTTGCGTTTTAGTGCTCTGTGAGTGCATATAGGTGGCGGAGTGCACATTGTTAGTGGAAGAAGATTTTTGGTTATCTCTTTCTTTTATTTATTTATTTCAGGTACTTATATAACACCATCAATTTACGCATCGCTTTACATATATATTGTACATTCACATTGGTCCCAACCCTCAAGGGGTGTACAGTCTAAGGTCCCTGATGTAAGTATATAGAAAGAAAAGTGAGTGCCTAGAGTGAGTAAGAGCAAGCGACTATGCACATGAATGGGTAACCAACAACACCATAAGAACATATAAAATCAAATCGTGCAGCGCTAAGAAGAGGGTAATAAAATATAATGTCCGAAATGGCAATGTGTCAACTCATGTATATCCCAATAAAGAGGGGTGCGATGAATAAGTATATACCAATAAATAAATATATAAATAATCAAATAAATATAATTATAAAGTTCCAATCGGGTGACTGTGGTGAATCCTGATCCGTCAAAAGGTGCAAACCGTGGTGTAGGTAATACACACTCACCGAACGCGCAAATTAATTGCGCCTTATATAAGTAAATCCTGGTGTCATCTGATGAGGCCTGAAGCTGAAATATCTTCTCTCCAGAGGATGGGTCATCAAATGTGAACACCGTAAGACCAGGTACCAGGGTATGCTTATTCCTTCTGGGAGTGGTCATGCATCTCCTTAGGTATCCTTATGGAGTGGTAGCCCGTCCTGAGATGGTGGGTCTGCGGGTTTAAAGCAGTCCCCCAAGAGGTGGGAACAGGAATACTCCCATAGTGTAGTAGGTAATAACTAGAGATGAGTGAATTTTTCAAAAATTCGATTCGGCTGATTCGGCGAATTCCAGGAAGAAATTCGATTCGATGCGAATTAATTCGCTACGAAGTTAACTTATAAAAAGGGTTTCTAGGCTTCAGAGAGCCTTTAAATTAGTGCAGAACACTGTACCTTTAATTTAAATGCCCTTGGAGATGAGGAAGGAGAAGGAGAAGGAGAAGGAGAAGGATGAGAAGAAGGAGAAGGATGAGAAGAAGGAGAAGGATGAGAAGAAGGAGAAGGATGAGGAGAAGGAGAAGGAGAAGGAGGAGGAGAAGGAGAAGGATGAGAAGAAGGAGAAGGATGAGAAGAAGGAGAAGGATGAGAAGAAGGAGAAGGAGAAGGAGAAGGATGAGAAGAAGGAGAAGGATGAGAAGAAGGAGAAGGATGAGAAGAAGGAGAAGGATGAGAAGAAGGATGAGAAGAAGGATGAGAAGAAGGATGAGAAGAAGGAGAAGGAGAAGGAGGAGAAGGAGAAGGATGAGAAGAAGGATGAGAAGAAGGAGAAGGATGAGAAGAAGGATGAGAAGAAGGAGAAGGATGAGAAGAAGGAGAAGGATGAGAAGAAGGAGAAGGATGAGAAGAAGGATGAGAAGAAGGATGAGAAGAAGGAGAAGGATGAGAAGAAGGACAGTTCTGTGACAGTTTCTGTCTATTTCTGACAGTTCTGTGACATTCACTCCATACAGCGGTTTCAACCGCTGTATGGAGGGAATGTCCCAGAACTGTCAGAAATAGTCTATTTCTGACAGTTCTGGGACATGTATGGAGTGAATGTCCCAGAACTGTCAGAAATAGTCTATTTCTGACAGTTGTGGGACATTCCCTCCATACAGCGGTTTCAACCGCTGTATGGAGGGAATGTCCCAGAACTGTCATAAATAGTCTATTTCTGACAGTTGTGGGACATTCACTCCATACAGCGGTTTCAACCGCTGTATGGAGGGAATGTCCCAGAACTGTCAGAAATAGTCTATTTCTGACAGTTGTGGGACATTCACTCCATACAGCGGTTGAAACATTGTATCTATTTGTTTCCATAAATGACATTCTGCAGATACACTTAGAGGAGCTCTGCAGATACACTTTTTGCCGGCTTGGAATTATTCTTATTTTCATCCTACTTCTTCTTCTTCTTTCTTCATCCTCAAAGTGTATGTGCAGAGCTCCTCTAAGTGTATCTGCAGAGCTCCTCTAAGTGTATCTGCAGAATAGAGGAACTCTGCACATACACTTTTTGCCGGCTTGGAATTATTCTTATTTTCATCCTACTTCTTCTTCTTCTTCTTCTTCATCCTCATCCTCTTCTTCTTCTTCTGAGGATGAGGATGAAGAAGAAGAAGAAAGAAGTAGGATGAAAATAAGATTAATTCCAAGCCGGCAAAAAGTGTATGTGCAGAGTTCCTCTATTTCTGACAGTTCTCTGACAGCTTCTTCACATGTACAGCGGTTGAAACATCTGTATCCTAAATGGAAACTAATAGATACAATGTTTCAACCGCTGTACATGTGTTCCTTTTGTAAGAGAACTGTCAGAAATAGCGGAGCTCTCTGCAGGGACACTTTTGCCGGCTGATCGGGGAAAAATCCGATTCGCGCACCCGAAGTAGGCAAATATTCGGATTCGACGCGAATCGAATTTTTCCTGAAATTCGTATCGAATTCCGGTTCGCCTGGTTCCATTCGCTCATCTCTAGTAATAACAACTTTATTAAAGATGCATCAAACTGGTAAGAACAAAGTAGACAAAAATAGACAGCAGTGTGACTGACCATGTAGTGTTAAAGATGGCCGCCGGAGCTCTACGTTGCTCCGGCGGCATGACGTCACGGCGTGGTGTGGCTCCTTCTGACGCATATCGTGTACAAACACCTCCTCAGAGGGTGGTCGCCAATCACGTCTTGTCGTCCACCGTAGTAATTTATAAAGAATCCGACACATGCGCTTTTTTGGCCGCGGCCATATTGGAGTAGCGTGATGCAACCTCGCAAGCGCGAAACATCGAGTGCCATTTTCCCCATTAATGTATAGACAGAGCATTCCCGTTTGTATAATTAGATATTAGCACATTTGTGATCAGATATACTGCTACAGGGCAGGATAGGTGCGCAAAATCACCTATACTGTATATATAAGTAATTTTACATTTCCAGATAGGGGGCGCACGCGTTCTACCCACGCCGCTATTCGCGGACGCGGCTGTCAATCACCGGGTCCCAGCCAGTGATTACTCGCCGGCGCCCGGTGATTGCCAAGCATCTGCGACATGGAGGAGAACTGTATGTAAACAATACAGTTCTCCTCCCTGTCAGGTCGTGCACACTACTTTGGATGGCTGTGCACAGCACAGCCATCCAAAGCAGTGTGATTACAGTGAAGCACAGACACAAGTAAAACAGCACACAGTTAACCCTTTGATCGCCCCTCATATTAACCCCTTCCTGCCCAGTGCCATTAGTACAGTGTCAATGCTTTTTGTTTTTAGAACTGATCACTATATTGGTATCACTGGGGATGTCAGTGACACCAAGTCAGTTCCCCCCAGTGTCAGAATACCCGATGCAGTCCCGCTACAAGTCGCTGATCGCTGCCATTACTAGTTGAAAAAAAAAATTCCATTATCTTTATCGCCATTTGTAAAAGCTAAAACTTTCACTCAAACCATTTCATTTACATGTATTGGGATCTTTTTATATCAAAGACATGTAGCAGAATACATTTTGGCCTAAATTTAATGACTTTTTTTTTTCTTGGACATGTTTAATAGCAAAAAGTCAAAAATATATATTTTTTCTCAAAACTGTTAGTCTTTTTTTTTTTTTTATAGCACAAGAAATAAATAACACACAGGCGATCATATATCACAGAAAGAAAGCTCAATTCATGGCAAAAATAGAACGTAAAGTTCATTTTGGTGCAGCGTTGCATGACCACACAATTGTCAGTTAAAGTAACGCAGCACCATAATGCAAAAAATGGCCTGGTCAGGAAGCGGGTAAATCCTTAGGAGGGCAAGTGGTTAAAATGCATCAAAAATGCACATGCTTTTCTACAGTGTCTCCATTGAAGTCTATAGAACCAAAAACACAATGTTTTGCATTTAAAAAAGTCCCTGACCCTTTCCAAAAAACACATCGGGTGACAACGCGGAGATGTGAACCTGTCCCATAGGAAATCATGTTAAATGGACTGCAAAACACAATGTAAACCGCATAGGTGTGAACCTAGACATACATTGTATCTCTTTATTTCAAAGGACATGAACAGCATAATGTCTGCTTGTTTGCTATGGTTCAGTTTTCTATCCATGTGCTATGTTGTAATAGAATTCTTGTATACAAGGCCATGTCACCAACTTAAAAAATAACAAGTAGAATTGCAGAAAAATCTAGTATTAAAAATTCATACTTCCAACGTTTAATTTATTTTGTATTCACGTGCAATGAGTATCTGAACTTGCAAGAAAATATGATTACTTCAGGAAAAGTCAATTAACTAGCACAGCCCCTTCTCTCCTTGCATCTCATAACCTTTGCATCTTTTGGGAGTGTCTAATTACTCTCTGTGCTGGCCCAGCTCCTCCTCCCCTTCCCTTCACCTCCCTATATAACCTTTAATGTGTCTGGGAGAGAAATGAAGAGGAATTACTATAGAATGTCACTTTAGGCCTGGTTCTGGAAGCAGCGTTTTGCACAGCACGGCAGCCCATACATTTAAATAGGCTGTTGTGCCTCCTGAAATGCAGGAAAAAAGGGCCCTGCTCCATTTTTGGAATCACGGCCTGCACAGGAATGGCAAGTGCAGTGTGGTTCATAGTGCAGGAGTGATTTCCAGTGTGCGCAGTGTGCCAGTAGGATGAATGGCACTTGTACATATCTCCTGGGTTTTTCTGTGGTGGTTGTGGCTGTGAGAACAGGTGTGGTCCCATAGTGGCAATCACCCACACAGGTGTGAACCTAGCCTTACACCCCTCACATCGGGTGCGACTTAGCATGTGATTTGCATGCCATGTGACTTGCAAATCGTATGCCAAGTCACACCCTATTGTCTGCAATAACAGCGGTCAAATCATTACGGTTCTGACTTGGTTGGAGCCGCACTGATTTCTGAAGTCATCTGTGTCAGATGTCTTGCATATCGAAGCTGAAGTCGGCATCTCACCCGACTTTGAAATCGTGCGACTTCACTGTAAGGGCTCGTTCACACTTGGCTGTTTTGCCAACGCTTGCCAAACGCCCCTATAGCGTTTGGCAAGCATTGGTCCGGCGTTTGCGGAGCGTTTTTAACGCTCGGCAAATGCTCCGCAAACGCCGCATGCGCGGTTTAGCGGAGGTTGCCAGGCGTTTGCCGGGCGTTAATAACGCCCCACAAACGCCTATAATGTAGTTTGAGTGGTGTTACCGCTCCGCAAACGCCCCGCAACCGCGTCGCAAACCGCACCGCAAACGCCGGCCGGGCGTTTGTGGAGTGGCACCATAGACGAGAATAGGAGGCTTCAACGCCTCCTGACTCGTCCAGAGGCGTCCGTTTTGCTGCGACGCTACGCAAACGCTCCCGTTAGAACAGCACCATGTGCTGTAATGTGCAGAATTAGCAGAGGCGTTTGGGAAGCGGTAAAAACGCTTCCCAAACGCCTCTCTGCCGCCTGCACACAGCGCTAGTGTGAACGTAGCCTAAGTCGCACGATTTCAAAGTCGGGCTTGATGTGACCAGGGGGTAAAAGTGACAGTTCTGAGTCTGCTAGGCTGCTAATATCACATCCTAGATGGTGGTATCAAGCAGCAGTCTCTGTTTTTGGATGCTTTACACAGATAAATAGCACATACAATGCATTGACTGCACATATACCCTTCCTGGACATTTTGTTGAATTGAATGATCTGGTGATAGGGTCTATGAGTGTTCATATTGTACCCTAGCTAGGGGCTTAGGGAATCCAAGTAATAAAACTAGGCAAACAGTAACATATACGAAGTAGAAAGGTCACTGCATGCCCATGTGTATAGAGAAATGTAACTGCTTACAGATTTATAGTGTATGATAGCTGCCTAGTTGCCACCGTTGGTTCAACAGTTTGTTCCTAGAGAATATATTTTTACTTCAGGGCTTCAATTAAACAATAGTTGTATAATTAATAAGATCAAGTCACTCATGGAAAAATAAAGTCAGCTATGCCCTTCGTGTATACAGCTCATTTAGCTGCAAGAGCTACCTCAAAGCAAGAAAATAGCAACATGACTCCCTCAGAGGTATTATTATATTTTCAGTGAAATAAAGTGGTTGTAAAGACTATAAAGTTTTTTTTTTTTAACCTTAAAAGAAAAGGAGTTTTAGAGACCATTGGCTGACAGGGAGCAGCAAGACTAAAAGCAGATATTTGCAGTGCTTTATACTGTAAATAGGCCCCACGGTACTCATATACATGGGCATTTGTTTTATTCTGTGCTGCTTTTCTTCATTTTAAAATCAAGTTTAAAAAAAACCCTAAATCATGTATGTGCATCTCCTTGCCACCAGAAAAGCAAATCCAAGCAACTTAAATGTGTGCCAATGCAAACACTTAAAAGCGCATACAAGCATACTGTCTTTGTCTATCTCACTTACACATCCTGAGATTTTTTGAAGTTTTCATTTTTTGCCATAAGTGATAAGGAAAAAAAAAAAAAAAAAAAAAAAAAATATATATATATATATATATATATATATAAATGTTTCAAAGTTGTCAATTTAATAGGATAATTCTCATGAACAGCAAGGGCATACAATCATGGCCATAACTATTGGCACCCCTGCATTTCTGTCAGATAATGCACCATTTCGCCCAGAAAATTGTTGCAATTACAAATGTTTAGGCATTCTCATGTGTCTTTTGCTTGTATTGGTATGAGACAAAAAGGTGGAGAAACAAAAAGTCAAATCTGACACATTCCATGTGAAACTCCAAAAATGGACTGAAAAAATTTATTGACACCTTCTCAAAATTGTAGGAAATAATTGCATTCCAAGTTTGTGATGTTCCTGTAATTTGTAATTAAACTCACTTTTATCAGTTACCACTTGCCCT